TTTGAGTATTAAATTATGTAATATCATTAAAATGATTTCATCTTTTCTATATTTATTTTTATTTATTCTACAATTGTTTTATTTTTTCTTCTATCTGTTCTTTTTTTGTCTTTTTTATTGTATTTCTTCTTTTATTTCTCTTCTTTATATTATTTCTTATTTTATTATTCTTATTACTTTATATTTCTGTTATTCCATTATTATATTCTTTCTTGTTCTTATTTATTTTCATTTTAATACATACTTTGTGTTTTGTTAGATACTTGAATTATTCATTTTATATTTCTTTTATATTTTTTTCATTTTTAATGATAGTGGTATTTTAAATACTTTAGATATGAATAGATGAAATAGAATGAATTTTAAATTATTATGTTTCTATTCATTTTTATTAATAATATCATTCAAATGATTGTTATTTATTTTATATTCATTATTTTGTCATTTATATTTATTATTTTATTATATCATTATTCATTCTAATTTCAATTAAAATATCAATACTCATTCAAATTGGTATTGTAGTACTAAATAAATTGTTTACCATCATTTCATTTAACTTGTAATTTTCTTATAAATTAGTTCTTGATTTATTTTCAATTGTGTTTTATTGATAGTGTTTTTTATTATTTGCTTTTCATTATTCATAAATATGTGAAGTATAAAAGAAAAGAATGAATTTACTGAGAAACAATTGAATAAACTAGAGAATTTGTTCATCTATAAAATAGAAATAATATGTATATAAGTTTTATTAATACTTTATTTATTTCATCTCAATTCACTCTATTATGGTTTGTTATTCACATCAAGATGATAAATGATTATTTGGTTTATTATTTCATTAAATATTGTATTGAAACAATTTATACTTATGATAGAAATGATAAATATTTAAAGATAGAAGAATATTTACAGAAATATTGTCATCTAGATTATCCAAGATGTTTATTTTACTAATAAAAATGAGATACGTATGAATGATTTATTCTTTACTAATTTTACTCTTATTAAAAACTTGAAACACACCATAAGATACTTGTTTAGTTTGTGTTAGCATATCTATATTCTTAACACCAAGAATGAAACGTATAGAATGAAGTCAATTCAAGGAATTAATAATCTTATTGGTAGTTAATTAAAAATAAGAAACAACTCATAATGAATAAATACATTTTTATAAAACGAAAAATGATGAAGAATTTGATAACTAAAACATAGGATAAGTCAATTCAGTTGTTCTAATACATTCATCACTTATTTAATCCATAGAAATAAGTTGAATAAAATTGGCATTAAAAGTATTCTGACTCATTCTTAATATGTTGAGATTATGAGGCAAAACAAAAGAAATGAAAGTGATGTTTTTATTATTTGGTGTTATGTATTAGGATAACAACCTAATATTTGTCATACAATAACACTATCATTTCAGTTGATCTTAAGAGAAAGGAAATAAGCAATGAGTGTTTTAACAAAATTACATAAGAATAACATTTATAATTCAAATAAAAATAAGTATTAGAATGTATTTTTATTGTTCGGTGTTTTATTTTTGAAAGTTTATTAGAAAAGATAAAATTTCATTCAATTATTGAATAATCTTTTACAAAAACTGCACCTTTTTTGAATGGTTAAATCTTGTTAGTCATAATGCTTTTTACACTTCTAATTCCCCTTATTGTTGCTCAAAATCCTGAATGCTCAAGTGCTTATTGCAGTTCTTGTAAGACAAATCCAAATGTCTGTGATTCATGTGCACCAAACTATATTCTTATTGATGGAACATGCAAATACTTCAAAGAAGTTGTTCCATATTGTGCCATTAGTTCTGAAAATGGATGTAGTTCATGTATGCTTGGATATTATTTGAAGGATGGAAAATGTCAAATTCCACCAAATCCACTTTGTGCTACATACAAAGGAGATAAATGTATTGTTTGTGTTGATGGATATTATGCAAAAGCTGGAGAATGTTTTGAATGTGTTGAAAATTGCTATGAGTGTTCTTCTATGACACAATGTTTTGAATGTCTTGATGGATATGGATTTAATGGAGATGATTGTGTTCAATCACTTGATCATTGTAAAACGTATTCTTATGGATCATCAACCAAGATGTAGTGAGTGTTATG